AGGTTTGTTAGTCAAGTTTGCTTGGCTGAACTTTGTATTGAAAGAGAGGTCTTTCAAGTAGAATGATATAGTTATTGTGACTATAATTGTTAGATATCACACGAAGTGATTAAAGGGACTGAAATGGGTTTCTCTTATCAATTAGATGAGATTTATAATGATAAAGTTTTCATTGGGTAGTGATAGGTAAACCAGAGGTTGTTTACATAAAACTATACTACTGATAGTGTATTCTTCTTCTTGGCTTGGTACCCCCCAGATGTAAATGAATTGCATCGAACTGGGTTAACATATTTTATGTTATTTATCATTCTGCAAATTTACAGTTTAGTATTTGCTTATTGATTAACATGTTGTAATAGATGTTGAAACATCTTTTGTGATTCTATTGTTGATATTCAATGTATCAGCTTGATTATTCTGCCCTTGTTTTAAAGTTATGCAGACAACAATGTCGTGACATGTTGTTCGGACATATGCAATCTTCTATGGAAGAATTTCATATACGTTGACTCAAATGTTTTCACAAGTTCCATATGGTGAGTCGGGGAGTGTTAAGGCTTTGAGAGGTTTCTTGTATTACAAGGTTATTTATCAAAGATGGTAGGGTATTACGTCAACATGACTTCCCGATACTCGTTTCGAACTTGACGATTATTGATGTATGACAGAGCTTGTATGTGCATCTCGAAAGCATTAAGAGAGTTTACCTTAGCAGTATCCTATAGTTGCTTCTGTCTGTTGGGTCTTTGAAGGGATTCACCTCAATATGCATTTTGAAGCAGCTTGACTATGTCATGCACTTAAGACGGTCTTCAATTGTATTAGCCTTGGAGAGATTCTTCCTCGACTAATCAACCCTTGGAATAATATGCCCCAGATGAACCATTTTTTGAAGCGGTTTATTTGATCAAATTCAGGAAAGCCTCTATCAATCTGACTTCCCCTAAACATAGACCCGACCAGAAATAAATCGAGTTTTCGTCCCCTAAAGAAAAGCGACAATTAGCTTTGAAAACTTCTTCATTATGCCTTTTCTCCAAAGTGAAGATATCTTTCCACCAAACAAAACCATAAATTCTGCAACTGCTGTTGTATGCAGTAGATTCAAGAATAGAAAGATATGCATACCTCGCTCTCAAGATCTCGATCCACAATGATTCCTTACTCTCCAAAATGCGCCACCTCCATTTTAAAAGCGAAACTAAATTAAATTCCTTCACTCTCTTTAAACCAAGACCTCCTAAGTTTATAGGCAAAACAAGTTGTTCCCAGTCCACTCAATGAATCCTCTTTCTATCGTCTACCCCTCCCTAAAGAAAATTGTTTTGCAACTTTGTGATTTCTTTACATATCTTCAACGGAGCCCTGTAGAACGAAAGAAGAAAGATTGAAAGACTGCTCTAAATAGACTTCAGTGGAGTTATCCTCCCTCCAAGACTTAGAATTCTTCCTTTCAAATTAGAAAGACAGACTCCATTTTGCGCAACCGAAAACTCTAAAATGAAATATGCCTAGGGTTCATACTGATTGGTATGTTGAGGAAGTTGAATTCTTTGCCTTCTAACTTGCAAGACAGAAAATTCGCTGTTGCATCCAAGAAATGAGAGTTGATATTGATACCGATTAACTTGATTTTCAAAAAATTAACTCCATGCCACAAAATCACTTCGAATCCTATGAGAACTGATTTGAGAGCCCACAGGTGTTTCCAGCTTCCATCACCAACTAACAATGTATCATCAGCAAATTGTAAGATATCCACCACACAATTATCCTTAACATGAAAACTAGATAATTCTCCTTTATCGAGGGAGCTCCTAACCAATCCAGATAATCCTTCCGCAACAAGCACAAACAAGAAGGGAGATAAGGGATCTCCCTGTCTAAGACCCCTTCTCACCTTAAACTCCTTCGTCGAACTACCGTTAACCAAGACAGACACGTAGCTAGAGAAAATCATTACCTCCATCCACTTTAACCAGAGGTCCCTAAATCTCGTAATTTTCATCATGTACTTAAGGAAGTTCCAACTCACCTTATTGTAGGATTTTTCGAAGTCGACCTTAAAAACATTACACCCCTTCTTCTCTTCTACTATGAAATCCACAGTTTCATTAGCTACCAATAGCATCCTACAAGACATATAGGATGATACTCATCTAGACTCGTAGGATTATCCTCTTTAAAGAAATGAATGACATCATCTTTAATTAAATACTAATATTTCCTAAAGAAAAAGAAGTTATATCCATCTGATCCCGATCTTTTCGAACCTTCGCACCTCTAAAACGCTTCCTTTATTTCAAGATCATTGAACTGAGCTTCTAAGAGAATTTTGACCGCCTCAAACAACCTGCCAAAAGAAATCCCATTTAGAATTGGACGACTAAAATCATTTTTATTAAAAACCTCAGAGAATACCCCATCCACTTCTTCAGCCAAGCCATTGGCAGAAAGAAGGGAGCCAAACACTTCATTGTTCACCATATTATGGTCCATTGTAACATCAATATCACCCAAGAAAAATCGGTTATAAATGAACGGTAAACTATTACAACCGAACATATACTGAATTTGGCATGTGATTTTATGACTCCCATGATTTCCAAACGCAGATCCAAACACTAATGATAACTTGAGCATTACATAACAATCATCTCCAAAACAATACACTTTCTCTATGTGGACATGACATTTAATTCAATTACCTACTAATCACATGTTTAATAGATAGTGTAATTCATTCATCTTTCATATTCAAAATAGCAATCAATATGAAATTTTTGTGTGACCTCTGTTCGATATTTTGGCCATGACTTGAGATTCAAAACTCCATATTAAGTGGAACCAAAGTCGTTATATTTCTAAAATTTTACGATGAAATATAGACTTAATTTGGCCTTGAAATCTCCATATTTTCACTAGTTAGGTAAGTCTATTTTCAACACTACTGTTGATATTTTTGTGTTAGATCCTATTTTTATCTTTTGGTTTTAATTTCATATTGGATAGTGTTTAATTGATTGGTTTGTGAGAATTCAATCAAAAATAACTAAATTCACTTTATTGAGCAAATATTTCAGAAAACCAAAGTAAATACCTAAAAGATTTGCTTAAATCGTGTATTTAGTGTATAAAGAATAAAAGATAATCTTCAATTTCTTACAAGTGTTTAGAGTTTCTCAAAGTTTAAACCCTAATTAATCATTCATAAAGTAATTGTTATATGAATAAAATATTAGATATGTTGTATAGGTTGTGTAATGTGCGATATAATTTATATTATATCATCTAAGAATGATACCTGTATATAATTGAATTATGTTATATTTTCTGTATGGTTATATTTTATTAATATCAACTCATGATAAAATAGTTTTAGTATTATAATGTTTAAAATACTATCATGTGTTTTAGTATTATGAGGAGCTCTTTACTTTTTTACACTTTTTTATATCTGGTTATGTCCCCTAATTTTATTTTTCTCCTTTTCAATAAATTTTAACTTATAAAAAAATTATGTTATATATATATATATATATATATATATATATATATATATATATATATATATATATATATATATATATATATATATATATATATATATATATATATATATATATATATATATATATATATATATATATATATATATATATATATATATATATATATATATATATATATATATATATATCAAATGAGAGTAATTTTTAATAAGATATGACATAAAATTCAGATTAATAAGAAAGAGAAATTAATAGTCAAATTAATGAATAAGTTTAATCATAATTTTTTGACTGATCTAATTGTTATTGTTTGTTTCTCTCATCTCTTATTTTAAAATCTTTCTCATTTGATTATTTTATCAAAATAAATATCGTGATAAAATACATATATTTAGTAAATATTATTTACCTTGATTCTATTCATAAAATATATCATTTATATTTTTCTATTTTATTAACATAACTTTTCAATATAATTTATTTTAAAAAATATTTTCAAATTTAAACATTGTCCGTCTATTTAGTTTCTTGATTAATTTCAAATCTCTTTTAAATTTAAGATATTTTTATATAATTTTTTTATCACATAAAATTCTAGATAATACAACTTTTATGCATTTTTTAATAAATTTAATTAATAGGTCCAAGCGTTGTCAACTTAGTGGTAAAAGTTGGAATTCATAATTTCAATAGATATCTGTGAATGTTGTAAGAAAATCATTAGTGTCGCTCTTTTTGAAAATAAAATACTTTATTAATCAAAAATTGTCTCTAGATACAAGCGATCCTAGAGGATCCAGCTACAAAACAAGACATCCGAGGACAAAAAGGGAAAAACAACTAACTATCTATCTATCCCCTCTATCATTAAGATAACTATATACTTCCTGAGTTTTTTAGTATCCATCCTCTATACACCAAAGTATCTATTACTTTCCTTCCTATTTTAATGATATCATTCTTCTCTCCAAAAGTTCTGTTATTTCTAGCTTTTCAGATCTCATAGATGGTCTCAGATATTGCCATTTTTATGACTGCGGCTCGGGCTCCTTTATCTTTGGTTTGCTGAATAAGCCACTTCATCTCGCTATGCCAACTTCCAGGGGTATGGTTAATTTGTGTCCATCTTAGGATCTCTTTCCATACGTTCTTTAGACTTTCACATTCAAAAAATAAATGGTTTAATGTTTCTTCCTCCGCACAGAAGCAGCACTCATTATCATCAATCATACCGTACTTATGCAATTTGTCTTTCGTTGCTAATCTCTCATGGCAAGCAAGCCACAAAATGAAATTGGCTCTCGGTCTCGCGTTATTCCCATAAACCAAATTTTTCCACTCTACCGGCTGCCCATAATCGTGTAGTTTTGCATACAGTCTGCTCATTCTAATTTCCCCCCCCCCCCCCCCCCCCCCCATCTTGAGTTCTTCCAGATTTCTCAAGTTATTAAACTCCTCCCTTAGATTGAGAATACCTTTCATTATCTAGGAATCACTCTTTTTACACTGGATCTCCATCAGATCGTTGGTTTTGATGTAATACGTTTGTATCCATTTAACCCAAAGTGAGTCTTCCTTCCCACTCAAGTTCCAAAGCAGCTTCATAAGAGTTGTTTTATTCCAAACTTCAATGTCTACGAAATTCAGCCCGCCATGACTTCGTGGACTACAAATCTGTTTCCACACTACGGGTGCTTTACGGCTCCCCTCAAAACCTCCTGTCCAGAGGAAAATGCGACAAATCGATTCAATTTTCTGAATTACAGTTTTGGGGAAGGGGAAACAAGTGAACCAGTAATTTGTTATCGCAAACATAACACAGTTAATGAGTTGAAGCCTCCCCGCGTAGGTCAATAACCAAGCAGTCCAATGTTTTATCTTGCCCACGATTTTGTCTATTAACGGTGCATAATGGCGCACAGATAGTTTTTTACCTATAACCGGAACCCCCAGATACTTAAAAGGCAGCTGCCCTTCTTGGAACCCCGAGGCTTTAATAATATTTTGCTTTGTCAACTCGTCCATGCCAGCACAATAAATTCGACATTTTTGTTGATTCACTGCAAGCCTTGTAGCCTTCGAAAACTTCCCATAAGTCTTCATCATCATTTCAACCGAGACCTTATCTCTCCTGGAAAACATAAGTAAGTCGCCTGCAAAGCAAAGGTTTGTGATTTTCAATTTATCGCATTTAGGGTGATAATTGAAATCACAATCTTCCTGCATCTTTTATAAGTATCTGTTTAAGCATTCCATTACAATGACAAACAACATAGGTGATATCGGATCGCCTTGTCTAAGCCCCCGTTTCGCTTCCATGATGTCAGTTTGATAGTCGTTAACGTTAAATATATAAAAAATAGTTGAAACCATTGTCATCACCCATTTAGTGAACTGTTGTAGGCAGCCCACCTCATTCAAAATCTTTTCAAGCGCATTCCAATCAATCATATCATACGCTTTTTAAATGTCCATTTGCATTAAACACCGGGGAGAAATATTCCTCTTTTTGTATCCCTTAATCAATTCATACGTGATTAGAATATGGTTATGAATTCTCTACCCTTTGACAAACGCTGCTTGATTCGCACCTATTATCGTACCTAGCACTTTGCTGAGTCGGTTGGCCAAAATCTTGGGTATGATTTTGTACAAGGTACTACAGCATGCAATAGGTCGATAGTCTCGTATCTCTTTCGCTCCTTTTTGCTTTGGAATAAGAGTGACAACGGAGCAGTTAGCAGCTCTGTACATACGGTTATGCTTGAAAAAATCATGCACAGCTGCTATAACATCCAGTTTAATGATATTCCAGGCTTTCTTGTAAAAATAAGCTCCAAACCCATCAATTCCAGGTGCCTTATCATTACCAATGCCTTTTAGATCTATGGTGATTTCGTCTTCAGTTATATGACTCGTCAACATATCTCTCTACGCAGCTTCCAATTGCCTGCCTTTCCTCGTTGCTTATGTATTAATACCTTCAAGTTGGTTCAGTTTTGTACCCATCAAATTCCTGTAGAATGATATTACTTCATTTTTCATTCCTTGCTGATCTATAACAATGGTTCCATCTGCTCTTTGAAGTTTTGTCATGTTTTGAATCTGTTGTCGCATCTTTATAGAGGCATGGAAATATTTGTTATTACCGTCACTAAGTCGCAGCCAATCAATTTTTGCTCGTTGCCTCACCATACTATCATCCAACTCCTGCAAAGTAATAAGATTTTTAGAACATCTTTTCACCATATTAATCTTGTCTCCATTCAATCTATCTGTCATTAAATTATCTTGCGCCTTGTTCAGATCATCACGAGCTCGTGCAATTTCCTTGTGAATCTCAGCCATCGGTTTGCTCAATTTCCTGATGTGGGGTTGTAGTCTTTGCAATTTCTTCCATACAACAAACATTGGTCTTCCTTCTAACGGAATGTCCCAACTGTTCTTGACAACTTCCTGGAAATTATCCAAGTCTGCGCAGCAGTTTATGAATCTAAATCCTTTGCTAGGTTGCTGGACTTCAATATTGTCGTGTAACACAAGCATGGCATGATCAGATATACTGGGGTTCATATTCATTAATGTTGTATTTCCATTTTGTTGCAGCCACTCAACATTGCATAGGACATGATCAATTCTAGAGTAAATAGCATTATCTCCCTGTTTATTCAACCATGTGAAGTAGTCTCCCCCACTATCTTTTTCATATAGTCCCGTTTTACTCATCATCTCAATCAAGTCTATGTATTCGTGTTTTGTAACGTCATTACCGCCAATTTTGTCTTCAGTTTTCATCATATTGTTATAGTCACCTACTAGGACCAAGGTCCATTTTGATGTGCATTTATCTTTTCTATGTCGCGCCACAATTCCTTTCTGCGCTGCAGCTGGTTTTGTGCATAAATGGTTGTCATCTAAAATAGGAAATTGCCATTGACATCATTGACCTTACAATGAATCAACTGATTTGTGCTTTCCACCAGAGCCATGTTCCTTCTATTATCATCCCAATGGATCCATATTCTTCCATTTTCATGGTTTGAATAGTTATCCATATAGTTTCCTTTTAATCTCAGTTTCCGTCGAATACAACTAGCATTCTTCGCCTTTACTCTTGTCTCGATTAACACAGAGATTGCAGGGGTTAGTTTTTGGAGACAAGAGCTGATCTCCCTAACTTCGACCGCTTTATTCAGCCCTCTAATGTTCCAAGAAATGATCATGGGACATCTTCTAGGAACACCGAGGCTGAACCATCCCCGAGTGCTGCATAAAAGTTCTTGTAGTTCTTCGTTGGATTCTTGATTTTTGGACTTGTACCAGAATCAATATCGTTGGCCTTATCTTTGTCTTTTCTCCTCACCTCTGTCCACACCATATCTTCATATGTACCTGTTTGTTTGTTGTTCTTCATTTGCACGATTGCTCCGGATTTAGGATGTTCCTGTACTGCTATTTTCTGTGTTGGTGTCTTCAAGGTCTCCTCTTCCTTTGCAGCCACACTCTCGTCTTAATGCTTCTTCTCTTTGGGAATCCACTTCTTTATTGGGTTTTTTGGTTGCTTGTCCTCACATTTGTGCCCAATCCGGTGACATTTTGTGCAGTATAGAGGTCGTCATTCATATTCTACCTGTTGTTGCATCTTCTCCCCTTTCTCGTCCGTTATAGTGATTTCAGCAATGAGTTCTTGTGTGACATCAATTTCTACTAGAACTCTAGCATATGAGATACGATACTTGTTAGCGGTGCATTCATCAGTCATCAAAGGAGTGCCCAAGGCACTCGTTATCTTCCCCAACTTTTTTGCTCCCCATAGGTGCAGTGGCAATTGAGGTAGTTGAATCCAAACAGGGATTGTACGCAACATATCATTCTTCAAGTTGAAGTTTGGTTTCCATTCAGCTAACAACATCGGCATATTGCGTATGGTGTAAGGGCCCTTTCACGAGTACATCATCCCTCTCCTTGTGTGAATGAAATCTCAGTACAAAATATCCTTCATTGTTGTAATACATGTCATGCAATTTGACGAAATTCCATTGTTTTAGCATAAATTGTTTGACCATGTTCATGCTTAGATCGCCTCCCATTACATACATGATCAATGTCGTCTCCCAGAATTTCACCTCTTTTACAGTATCTGCTTCAATAAGTACCTCTGCAATACCATTGGTAATCGTTGGTGCGATGAATTCCAATGTTAACCCATTCTCAGGATTTCGATTTCCACTTATAACGTCGACCCATAGTCTTTTAGGTTATGTTGCCCCTTTTGGTGAAATTAGGGTTCCAGATTCGGTGCTTTCCTCTACTTCTTCAATCTCCTTTGTTGGCTCCTCTGTTTCATGTTGATTGGGTGTTTTGCTTGCATTCGCGTTGGTTCGAGATGGTATATCATCATTATTGTTGCTGGTAGATGATGACGGCGTCGACACCACCTTCGGTGGTCGTCCTCACCTCCCCATCTTCTTAGTTTGCAAATCTATCAATTTTTTTCTCCTTCTCTATGAAGAAACCTTATTGATTCATTAATGTCGCTCTTAATACTAATAAAAATTTCTTTTTTCTCCTTTTAAAAAATAAAATAATTAATAGTCACTTCGTTTTTTTAATAGGTGGTTCATTTTATCATTTCATATGTATTAAAAAAAAAGTCTATAAATAAAAGAGAGAATAGTATTTTTACTAAAATTATTCTTTATTAAATAGTGATAATAATAAAAATAATATTAATTAGAAATTAAAATTTGAAAAAAAATAATAGTTGATATTGCTTAAAAAAATTAAAAGGAGTTTTTATAAATGGATCATTGTAGAACGAAGAGATAATAGATACATAAAATTAAGTTATTTAAGTCACATGTTACTCATACTTAACTCAATATTTTTTCATATTTTGTTTACAGTTTACTTATTTAGAAAATATGATTTTAACTTATGATAAATATTTCAATAAACGACTTATAATCTAGATATATTCTATCTACCAAACATGTTTTTTTATTTAAATTATAATTAATATTTTAACATAACTTTAGTCAATATAAGATTTTTATTTTCTTATTCAACTTTTTTCAATATATTAAGTTTTCTTATTTTAAAATTTAAATTTAACTTTTTTTAAATAAAAAAAATCTCCTCATACATCCTCTTAAAATAGCTTAATTAAAAATATTTTAAAATTTCATTTTGGTCAAAAATATATATTATTAAATTTAATTTTGATCGAAAATATTTATACTAAATTTTAATTTATTAATAAATATATAGTAGATATATACTGTAATGATTACTACATTTAAAATATCCTATAATTATTTACTATTTCTTTTGAATTCAAAAAGTATATCTGAATATTTTAACTTTATGCAAAAAAAAAAAAAATAATATATATATATATATATATATATATATATATATATATATATATATATATATATATATATATATATATATATATATATATATATATATATATATATATATATATATATATATATATATATATATATATATATATATATATATATATATATATATATATATATATATATATATATATATATATATATATATATATATATATATATATATATATATATATATATATATATATATATATATATATATATATATATATATATATACCTTAACGAAATTGTATCCCTTAAATATTTCACTTTTATTTCTAAATTTTTAAATTAAAACTGAAAATTTAATTTATAAATTTATCTTTTTGATTAAATTTTTTTTTTTACTTCTAATCTATTTTAAAAGTTTATCAACATTCAAAGATATTTTTAAACACATTCATTTATTAACTATACTTCTTTTTTCATTTATAAATTTATGAAGTAGTAGGGCCCATATTTCAACAAGTTATTGCGTATATGAAAAAGAAAAAATAAAGAAGATGAGGACATGAACGAGACTAATAGCTTATAGATGATAAGTTAGCTGGTGGCTGGTAATTATTAATTAATAGCTTATAGTTTATAGTTAGTGATTGGTAACTTATAACTGATGATTTATAGCTAATAAGTTAATTTGAGTGAAGCTTTTAATAATGCTAAAGAACTTTTTCCATTTATCTGAGTTACCGGTGAACT